ATAGCACTCTTGTACTTACTTCATCCACCTGGAATACTGGTTCCTCTTCCTAATGTCTCAATCATCCCTCATAAATACCATGACATTCCTTTCTGGTAGATCAACTATAGTTTACTCCACAGACACACATGAGCACATGCACACAAGGGTTGAGCTGGATGTAGTATACTTGGGAGGTAGAGGTAGCAAGATAAGGAATTCAAGGTAATCTCCTGGTACAAAGGGAATATGAAGCCTGTCTCAAAACCAAACAATAACTAACAACCTGGTGTGGGGCACATACCTGTAATCCCAGCACTTGGGAGGTAGAAGCAGAAAAATCAGATAAGCAAAAGAGGCTCCACCACTTGATAGGAATGTGGAAATGTTTTGGATGAATAAGTGAGATGGAAATAATAATGTAGACATTTTTAAATAGTGCAATCTGAAAACTTCATGCTTATATCACAAGCCATAAAAGCAAATCAGTGCTCTAGTGGCTCTCCAGAATGTCTGCACTAGTGAAGCATTAAATAGCATTCCCATGATCATCTCGTTGTCATCATTTCTCTCTCTTCTTTTTAAAATTTGAGACAGGTTCTTATTGTATAGACTTATTTGACCTGGACCTTAGTTATCTTCTGGCCTTTGCTTTTGTAGGTGGAGACTGCTCATTCATATCCTGGTTGCCCAGACCCAAATAATCACACAGAGACTATTTTAATTACAACACCGGTCAATGGCTCAGGAATATTACTAGCTATCTCTTATATCTTAAATTAACCCATTTCTATTAATCTATATATTAGCACGATGCTGTGGCTTACTGGTAAGGATCTGGCATTTGCCTCCATCAGCAGTTACTTGGCGTCTGCTTCCTTCAGCAGCTATATGGCATCTCCCTGACTCTGCCTACTCTCGCTCTATATCTCTTCCAGCCTGACTACATTTCTGCTCTGCTATAGGCTGCAGCAGCTTCTTTATTAACCAGTGGTATTAAACTATATTCATAGCACACAGAGGGGAATCCTACATCATGCTTCATTTCCAAGAGCTGGTAATAATAACATATCCATCCCAATCATTATATCTTTTTAAAGGTGTGAATACAGCGTCTCACAAAAACTTTGCCTTTGAGCTACCTCAGCCCCACCAGTTGCATGGATTCACATTTCCTGAAAGAAATACAAAGAACACATCTTAGAAAGTTCTCCATATAGTTGATACTGAAACAGCAATTTAAACTCTGAACTCTAGTTCTACTTCTTGGTTCTCAGACCCTCAAATGTTAGATAGGCAGTCTGCCATTGACCACACTCTCAGTCCAGGATTTGTGTTGAGATTTGTAAAAATGTGAGAAATTCAAGGTAACTGGGCCTGCTGATGCCCTTAGGAGGGAGGATCTGAAAAACAGGACTAACCTAGGCTCCATGAGACTCTGTCTCAAAAAAAGAAAGAGTAAGGAAGAAAACAAACACAGGTGACCTGTGTAGCCTGGAAATATGGGATATTTATATTTTTATATTTTATTTATATAATATATATTATATCTTATTTGTGGAGCAGGGTGTGCATGTCATGACATTCACATGGATGGCAGACAACAACTTGTGGGTAGATACTGCACTTCCACTTATGTGGGTTCTGAAGATCAAACTCAGGTTGTCAGGCTTGGCAGCAACTGCCTTTTACTCACTGAGCCATCTCATATATATGAAAAAAATCAATAAAAAGTTTAACATGTCATGAATACATAAAATAAATGTAGAGTATAGTCTATTTTATCATTTACTAATACTAAAATACATGAATCTATTCACAAAGGTAAATTTATCAGAACTTATATACTTAATACACTTCCTGTTCATGGCACTAGTCTAACTCAAGAGAAATATGAGCAACCATAAAGTTGGTGGTTTTCAGTCAGAAATGCTCAAATAAACTGTACCACACATAGTCTGTTAATGGTTTCAATATGAACTGTAAAACAGTCAGATATTGAAGATGAAACTTCATCAAAAGATTAATTCATGAGTAACATCATACCTAAATATACTGTAAGGAGGTGAGGATGAAGTGGGTTAATAGAAATGTGCCTGTAAGAGGGATATCTCATCCTGGCACCCTTCCTTTCTTCTTCCTGCTTTGTGGACCATAGGCAGAGTTCCTCGGTGTCTTGGCAGTCACTCCCAAATAACCACATTGAGACATTATTAATTATAAATGGTTGGACAATAGCTCAAGCTTTTACTAGCTAACTCAAATTTTAAGTTAACCCATATTTCTTATCTATGTTCTGCAACATGGCTTGGTATCTTTTCTCAGTACAGAAAGGCCATCTCCTTCTTTTTGTATCTTCTCTCAATTCTCTTTGCCCCCCAAATCCTGCCTAGCCACCAGCCAATCAGCATTTTATTAAGGAGAGCATCATGTCTTTACAGTGTACAGAAGGATTATTCCACAACCTTTCCCACTTTTGTCTAATTAAAAAGGAATGCTTTAACTTTAACATAGTAAAAGTATATGCAACAAAACAGTTACAATATCCAGTTGATATGTATATATGACAAAATTAGAGAAAATATTCTATTATTTAATCTTATCTTTGTGAGTCTAAAGCTTTATATCTAATATATCTTTTGTCATAATTAAGGAAAACTTTAAGTCTAATTATTTAGTCTTTAACTCCTTCAAAGGCCCCAGAAAGGTGTAATGTTGCTTAATGACAGGGACATCTGGTTGCGTAGACAGTCACCCTAGGTTCTTCTGTAACATTGGGACATCCATCTTCAGCCTACAGGCCCGTAGTATCTGACAGACTTTTCTGTGAAACAGGAATTTTGAAGAACTATCCCTCCTTGTCTTGGCAAAGTTTGGTAGTCACATTCTTTTGCATCTTGTTTGTCCAATTTGGACAGTATGCTGTCAGCTGTTGAGGCAAGAGCAATTTTTTGCCCAGTGTCTTACTTTTGCCACAAAGAAAGTAAACTCCATATGGAGTTTCTTTGATACCTATCATCTTCTCTGAAGTAGATTGGTGCTGCCAGGAACAGACATGTCTCACTGTCATAAAAAGCCTAATATTATTAAAACATCTTAATGCCATTTTCTGTCGATCTCTGAAGTGTTTGAAAAACATCTAATTATCTAAGTATATCTTTGTATGACCATGAAAACATACCTAACATGACTATAAGTTTGACTATTTAAAAAAGTTTGACTATTAATCCATATTTCTTAATTATACATTATACTTTAAATTTGTATAAATAAACCAACATTCATACCAATGTAAAATATTTTGAGATTAATAGCTTTTTAAATTAAAGTAGATTCAATAATCTAGCCATTTTTCCTACCATTTCTATATCATATCCCCCTTTTTTCCTTTGGAAAGAGATGTTTGAAATTAATTCCTTTGTGTAGCTTTTTTCTGACCATGACGAATAACAACTTTTAACCAACCCCCTTAAATGATAACAGACATTCATAATCCATCTTTTGGGAATGTGGGTGTTGTTTTTTTCTAGACTGCTTCCTGTAGTCTGGGGGTACTGGAATCTTTGGAGGACCCTGAAAAAAATGTAGGATTATGGTCTGGTCCTGACTGGAGTATTCTGTGAGGCTGGATCATCTCAGCCAGCATCCTTGAAGCTGCTTTGGCTACTGGATCACCTGGGTCATCGGTTTTATTGGTGTCTGATCTCCTTGCTCTGAAAATACATAAATTTTATACGTAACATACATATCTGCATTAACATAAGTATAGACTGTGCATTGTACACAAGTCAGCCAAAGATGATTTTTGTTTTATGTTTGAACAGGTAAAATATGCATCATGTGTATCTTGTAGTTCTTTTAGGTTTATTTTTTTATGTCTGTAGTTCGGATTTTCATGGCATCTTTCCCAATCAAACCTGATCCATATCAACTTAGAATGAATCCACAGCCTCTCATCTTCTATGGAATTAAAAGCATGACTTCTTCCCCAAAGTAACATATCTGTTGACTTCCATTTTGAAATCAAGACATTTTAAAAATATATAGGTTGCTTTAATTCAGCAGTTTTCATAATCCAATGTGTCTTAGCATCTGTCATTCCTTCATTAGCAATCAGAAAATCTAAAGACAACACAATAACATACAGAATCCAGACTTTCTGTGTATTCCCTATCATTATGTGAGTTATTATTTTTATTACTTTATTCCTTTTAAGGACTTTACTATTATTTTAAAACAATTTTTAATTATATGATTATATACACCCTTTTTTTTTCTCCTGCAAGCCTACATATATTTTTAAACACACTGCAACCCATTTAGAGTTTTTTTCTGTCTGGATCTGTTTTTACTGTTCATACGTCTTGTTCTTTGAACATATGAGATGAATCTTAAACTGATGTGTTAGTTGTTGGTACAGAATATGGCATTGGCAGCTGATTCCTTCCACTTTGTTTTCTAAGAGTTTAGCCTCATGGTACAGGTACCAGTGGGAGCCATGTTCACTGTCCCTGCTCATAACCCCATTTAATTGTTCGGTACCAGAGCCTCTTAAAAGACTCACACCTGTGTGTGGCACTAGCATAGAGCATACCCAAGAAAAGTCAGTTATCAAGAATCTGTGTTTGGCTCTGTTTTTTGTGCTTAGAATCTTTTTAAATTATTTGTTAGGTCTTATGTGGAAATTCCAGACCCACACTGGAATATCATTTGTATGCAAATTTTTCTGTCTCTCTATCCATTCCTCAAATAACCACATTGAGACTTATTATTAACTAACTCTTACATTTTAAGTTAACCCATATTTTTTATCTATACTCTGTCAGGTGGCTTGGTACCTTTTCTCAATATGACAAGTTCATTTCCTTCTCTCTGCATCTCCTCTTGATTGATTCTCTTTGCCCCCCAAATTCTACCTAGCCATTGGCCAATCAGCTTTTTATTAACAACAAGAGCAACACATCTTTACTGTGTACAGAAGGATTATTCCACAACAGTAGACACCATGTGGTAAGCAGCTTTCTCCTCCATGCCTTCTGCCATGATGTTACATTTTGTTACTTTGGCTCAGGCTCACAGCAACAGAGCAAGCGTACCATGGACTGAAAACTGTGGAACAGTGAACCAAGACGAATCTTTCTTCCAACTGAAAAAATAACACTTTTTGGGGCTAAAGACACAGCTCAGCAATTAAGAGCATAGATGCTTTTCCAGACAACCCAGATTTTATTCCAGCATCCACATGGCATCTCTCGATCATCTGTAACTCCAGTTCCAGAGGATCTAACACCTTCTTCTGACCTCCTTGGAATCCTGAATACATGTGGTGCAAAGATATACACTCAGGTAAAACACATACTTTATATTTAATATTAAATAAATATTAAAAATATCTTAGTCCCAGGACAGTCAGGGCAACATAGAGAAACCCTGCCTTGAAAAACAAAACAAAATAAAACAAAATATCTTATTTAGGGACTGGAGAAGTGACTCAGTGCTGTGGGACAATGATCTTTTTTATCCTGCCACTTATATTTTAATAAAATACCGATTGGCCAGTAGCCAGGCAGGAAGTAGAGGTGGGGCAACAAGAAAAGGAGAATTCTGGAAAAAGGAAAGACTCAGTCTGCAGTCATCACTCAGACGCAGAGGAAGCAAGATGAGAACGCCTCACTGATAAAGGTACAAGCCACGTGGCTAACACAGACAAGAATTATGGGCTAATATAAGTTATAAGAGTTAATAAGAAGACTGAGCTAATAGGTCAACCAGTTTGTGATTAATGTAGACCTCTGTGTGTTTCTTTGGGACTGAAATGCTGTGGGACTGGGCGGGACAGAAACCTTGGTCAACAACTCAGTGGTTAAGAACACATGCTGCTTTTCCAGAGAAACCAAATTCAGTTCCCAGCACCCATATCAGGCAGCTCAACACCACCCATAACTCCAGCTCCAAGGGATCTGAAGCACCTGACATTCTAGGGCATGTACACGTCCACACATAGGCACACATAAATAAATAATTAAAACTAAAATGAATCTTTAAAAATCACATTTATTTTTTTGGGGGTGCACATATGAACATGTTTGTAGAGGTCAGAGAAGAACTTCTTTCTGGTTTTTTTTTTTTGCTTAGTTTTGAGACAGGGTCTTATTGTGTAGCCTGGCTGGTCTAGACCTTTCTCTGAAGACCAGTCTGGCCTTGAACTTGCAGAGTTCTGCCTGCTTCTGTTTCACAAGTGCAAGTGCTCAGATCAACATGTGTGCCACCATGCCTGATTAGAACACAACTTTTAAGAGTTGGGCTTTCCCCCCCGTATATGTTGTGGGCCCTAGAAATAAATGGAACTCAAGTTATCATCAGGCATGGTACCAAGTGCTTTTATCCACTGAGCCATATTACTGGTCCTATCTCCTGTGTTTTGGTTTTAAGATTTTCTGTCACAGTGATGGAAAATAAATAAAACTCATTAATATTAAATAAATTGCCAGGCAATGATGGTACACACCTTTAATCCCAGCACTTGGAAGGCAGAGGCAGGCAGATCTCAGTGAATTCAAGGTCAGCCTGCTCTACAAAGCAAGTTCCAGGATGGCCAGGACTGTTACACAGAGAAACCCTGTCTCAAACAAACAAACAAAAAAGACTGAATAAATTTCTTAGCCATCTTCTGAAACTGTTGGCATGTTTACATACCATGGATTTCTGCTTAAATGCCCTAGGAAACAGCTCAGTTCTGCATGAGCAGTTTATCTCTCCAGTCAATCATACAGCACAGTAAAGTGTTGTTTCACAGTTAATATCTTCCATTATATACCACCATAGTTAAACATGTGTTACTTGCCAGTTTTTGATCAGTAGCAGGTGCTTAGTAGTTAGTATTTGGCCTAGAGATGTACCTCAGTTGTTAGAGTGTTTGCCTAGTTTGCCTAACATCCACAAAATGATGGGTTTTATATCCAGGCATGTAGTGTCACACCTATAATCCCAGCACTCAGAACCCCAGCCTAGAGGCAGGAGGATCAGGAGTTCAAAGTCATATTTAGTCATGCAAGAGCTCAAGTTCAATTGGGGTTACATGAGATCTCTTTTCTTAAAAGTAATATTTAACAATGTTTCAAAAAAGTTAAAATGAGTGAATAAATTGATTTTTCACTGCACTGAGGTTGAAGCTGTTCAAGAAACAATTGTTAACTGGGCATGATAGTGAGAGCTTATAATCTCAGCTCTTGGGAAGCTTGTAGGAGGATCCAGGTCCAATGTGAGTTCCAGGTCACACTGAGCTATACATCAAGACCCTATGTTATGGAATATTCCTTTACATTGTGTGAAGATATGTCACTGTGATTGGTTTAATTAAAACTAAATGATCAATAGCTAGGCAGGATTTTGGGGGCAGAGAGGACGATGGGAAAAAGAAGACAGAGTCTCCACGAGTTGTGGAAGAAACATGACATGTGGGAGATGAGGTAACAAGCCATGAGTCATGTGGCAGCACGTAAATTAATAAAAATTGGTTTATTTAAGTTATAAGAGCTAGTTAGAAACAAGCCTAAGCTATTGGCCAAGATTTCATAGTTATAAGTCTCCATGTGGTGATTTGGGAGAGGTCTGACAGGACAGAGAATGACTTGCTACAAGTCTATGTATAAGTCAGTAAAATCACTAGAGCTGAGAATGTGCTCTGGGGTAAAGGGCTATTACACAACTGAGGCACTAGATTTGACTCTTAGCACCACAAAACTCCAAAACTAATAAATTGTCAAAGGATTATTACAGAATTATACTGTATAGCAGTGGATTTCTATATAAAAATAAAGAGTAGCTACAGAGATGGATCAGTGGTTAAAAGCACGTTGCTTTTATAGTGGATCCAGGTTCAGCTCTCAGCACTCACTTAGTAGCTCACAACTATTCAGAGATCCTATGTCCTGGAACTAGAGTGAAGAGATGAGATTATAAGCTTTCAACACCACACCCAGCTGTGATATGAGACCAAAAAGGGTCTATTCCAGAATTACGATGGTGATTCCACACCAAAAAGTTAAGAGTACTCATTGCTCTTGCAGAGGATCTGGGTTCAGTCCTCAGCATCTACAAAGTAGCTCACAACTGTCTTATATCTTCATTTCCAGGAAATCTGATCTCATATTCTGACCTCCATGAAGACTAGGTGGTGTTGTTCACTTTTTACTCTTACTATTTATTTTTCATGCACATTGGTGTTTTGCCTAAATATATGTCTGTGTGAGGATGTCAGATTCACTGGAACTGGAGTTACAGACAGCTGTAAACTCTGTTGTAGGAGGTCACTTGTTCATTTTCTGGCTGCTTGGCCCCAAAATAATAACACAGAAACCATATTATTTGCAATACTGTTTGGGCAGTAGCTTAAGTGTATTTCTGGCTAACTCTTACATCTTAATTTAACCCATTTCTTTTTAATCTGTGTATTGCCACGAGGCTGTGGCTTACTGGGTAAAGTTCTGGTGTCTGTCTCCAGCAGGGCTATAATACATGATTTCTTTCTGACTCTGCCTCCTTTCTGCCAGTATTCAATTTCGTTTTCCCCACCTAGCTCTACTCTGCCCTATCAGGCCAAGCCAGTTTCTTTATTCATTAACCAATAAAAGCAACACACAGACAGAAGGAGCTCCAACACCAGAACTCCATGTGGTTGTTGGGAATCGAACCCAGGTCCTTTGGCTTGGCTTGTTTCTAGGAGTTTTTCTTAAATTATCCTGTCTATCTTTTGCCTCTGGGTTTTTTTTTTCATTTTCTTACTTCTGTATATGTCATTTTCACTCTTACTCTATGACTAAGCAAGATATGTTCTCTTGATCCTTGATCTTTTCACTCTTTTTCTCCTCTTTATTCTCTCTGCCTGCCAACCCCTCCTATCCTTTCTCTTGCCTTGCTATTAGCCATTCAGCTCTTTATTAGACCAATCAGGTGTTTTAGACAGGCAGAGTGAAATAGCTTCACTGAGTTAAACAAAGGCAACATAAGAGAATGCAACACATCTTTACATCATTAAACAAATGTTCCACAGCATAAACAAATGTAACACATCTTAAAATAATATTCTACAACACCAGGCATACATGTGGTATACAGACATACATGCAGGCAAAAAACTCATACACATAAAATAAGGCATTAAATAAAAATCAAATAAAAATAAAGTTACAAAATGTGCCTGTTTAGGTGGGTGGTGGTGGCACATGCCTTTGATTTCAGCACTTGTGAGGCAGAAGCAGGTGGATCTCTGTGAGTCTGAGGCCAGCCTGCTCTACAGAGCAAGTTCCAGGACAGCCAGAGCTACACAGAGAAACCATGTCTTAAAAACTGAAAAAAAAGAAAGAAAAAGAAAAGTGATAAAAAGAAAAGAAAGATTTTGATTCAAATTTCCAAAATCAATCTTGCCAATAAAATATCAAGAAGAAAAAGCAAAACTGATGTCATTCTTAGATCAAACATTTGTTCGATCAAGTGACAGGATCTGTGCTTCTCTGGGCTGCTGAGCCATGATGCAAGTTGACTCCCCACCTGCCTTGTTCTTTGCCTTCACAGAAGACTAGAACCAGTGGGTGGTGAGGTCATTGGCTAAGGCTGTGGGAATCCAGGGGATTCACCTATTATAAGGAAGTCAATGTCCTCTGGTCCCAGTTCCCTGGAAGGCTTTAGTTAGAGTTAAGATGTTGCAATTCCCTTCACTGAGCCTTATTTGAGACTTGGCACATGTTCTTGTTCTCTTTTCTTTTTTCTTTTCTTTCTTCCTTTCTTCCTTCCTTCCCTCCTTTCCTCCCTCTCCTGTCCTCCCTCCCCCTCTCTTTATTTGAGTCTTGTTATAGCCCATGATGATCCTCTTGCTTCCACCTGCCAAGTACTGGGATTACAGGTATGTGTCACCATGCTTCTTGCCTCTCTTTGGTCTTGAGTTCAGTCTTAGGGATCACTCATGTAATTAGTTTTTCGCTAGCCTCAACCCTGACTTATTATTGTTTCTTCCTCTTTCTCTTCCTCTCTTCAACAAGATCTCTCTATATAGCCATCGGCCTCATGAGTGCTGAGATTATAGACACAATCTCTCACACTTGGCAGATACAAGTCTTTTTCTAAAAAAAATATTTATTTATTATGTATACAATATTCTGTCTGTGTGTATGTCTGCAGGCCAGAAGAGGGCACCACATGTCATTACAGATGGTTGTGAGCCACCATGTGGTTGCCAGGAATTGAACTCAAGACCTTTGGAAGAGCAGGCAATGTTCTTAACCACTGAACCATCTCTCCAGGCCCCAGACACAAGTCTTTAGGAGTTTAGGCACAAACTGGGTTTTTTT